ATTTCCTATACTTGTAGGATATTTTGAAGTTTACAGTCTGTGCTTATATGCATTAAAAAAACTTAATTGCACAGCACTACAAATGAGTATGAGATGTGGGGCAAAGTTAAAACAGATACAAGCTGTTGGGGAACCACCGCCTATCAAGCATTAACATCCATTCGGTCATCTATAAACACTCTTGCTGAGTAAAGGATATGTGCCAGATAAAAGCTGAAAATTCTATAGTGAAAAAAAGAAATTTCTGCATTTGGCAAATTTACCTTTGTAGGAAAAGGCAGAGTGAACTGGTACCTGAAATGCTAGGCTCTGACTGTCAAATCCCTGGTGCAGTGAGCCCTGTGCTCATCATTTCATGGGGAACAAAAAGCTGAAGTTCAGGTCACACAGTCAAAATTTAAAACCCTCCAAAGTGCTTCAAAAGCTACTGTGTTCAGAGTAAGCTATCTCTAGGTTTAATAATACAACTCCAAGATTAAAAGGTAGTCAGAAGTCACCTGTTATTGAGCCTGGTAGCCTAGAACTTTCTAAGGTCGCTTGCCAGAAAACCAAATATTACTAACTCAAAAGAGAAGCCATCAGTACATAAATTTGACCTCAGTTCCCAAAAACTCAAGATGACCAACCCCAGGATTTCTAGTAGATACTTCCAACTGGTGCCTGCAAGGAGTCATCACGTATGGAAAGAAAAACTACAGCTGTCCTCCTGTATAGCTCTTTCCTCTTGAATCAACTTTCTTAGAATAATTTTGCAGATACATAAAGGAAAAGTACATAATATGAAAGCCTATATTCATGGAGAAAATCTTTTACCTCAAATTGTAAACAGGTACATGCAGTTTGGTGATTTGCAAAATCAAAAGCCTTTTAAAGTCATTTAAAAACTGGATACAATACAATATCCTTTTACAATTACTCAGAGATGACAACTGCTATTAATATGATATATATCCAGAATTCTAGACATGTAAGTTTTCTTTCCAATAGGTGTGTGCTACCACCCCTAGCTTCTTTCAAAAAAATATAATTGTAGGATATATTGGGTGTTTTAACCTGTCACTAAAAGGGAAAATCTTGTCATGCCTACAGATACAATTCTATATTATCAATCTGAAGAGCTACAAATGCTAACTTATGCTATTGTACCATACATGCTAAACCAATTTTGTATCTGAGATGTTAAATTCTAATTTCTTCCAGGTTAAATTATCCTTTGGTAGATTTTCTTATATATAAGCATTTGGTTAATGAACTTTATAGTATAAATTGTTAAATTTCTGCCAAGATTTTAAGCTTGAATGTACATTTTCAGAATGACCAAATTTTTTTCCTCTGTTTTTACTATCAACCAGTTATGAAGGTGTATCTTTTTTTATTTAAGAGGAAAAGGAGAAAAACACAAAACAAAACAAAGCAGTGTAAGGTTACACATAATACAGAACTACAAAAAAAAAGTAACAGTAAGAAATCACCTGTTAATAGATTACATGTTATCATCTTGGAAATAGTTGCTCAAATCACAGTATCAAAGAATACAAAGTAGACATTCAAACAGAGAGACTGCAAACTGTGTTCAATGATCCAAAAACATTAATATAGTCAGCTATTTAACACCCCTAAACACACTTGCTGTTATATCCGTTAGAGCTCTTTTTTTTTTCCTCCCTCACTTTTTTACAACAAAATTTACACATTTTGGATTTTATTACTCCTTAGTTCTTATTACTTTTTTTGGGGGGAGAGAATAAAGTCAAATATGGCAAAACAAAGCTGTCAGTCAAAACCAAGGATAGACATAGCACATGATGTAGAACAGAGTACAAGGTTATCAACAATGGTTATCAACGTTGTCTCTTGTTTCCTTAAAAAGAATTGTCTATCTCATTAGATATTATAAAGTTGGACAAAACAGTAGAGAACAAGACCAATAAAACTTAGGCATTGTAAACATTACAGGACTTCCAAAGGAGACAATAGTCAAACCAGAATGGGCATCTTAGTGAATCTTATTGCCTTCAAAGTAGTTGCCTATACCCTCAAACTTGATACTATCATACAGAATGGAACAGAGTCTAATCAGTCAAAACAAGATCATGGGAGTATTACAGGACTTCAAAACAAGTTAATAGGAAATCAAAAAGAGTTACTATTATATATCCTAATTTTTTTTAATTTTTCCCTTAATTAAAATAAACATAAGAAATAACTAAATAATTTTTTTAAAGAATAGTAGTTACCATAGTGTCTGTCTTTTTCCTTGAAATATTTGGATAAAACTTCATATACTATAGCTTCAAATATTTCCATATCAAGAAGCCCAGAATAAAGCCTTTCTAATTAATAAGTGAAAATTTTATAAGGATGAAGGTGTATCTTTATCCACATTCATGCCAATGATAGGCCTTTTCGGCATCAGCCAATATTGTAGATGAAAATTTTATTTCACTGAAATTTTAATTGGTATTTCTTTAATAAAATCTGATTGCTTTTTCCATGAGTGGGGGAAGAGAAAAAGAAATCAACAAGAAGCAAGCTCCCTCCTGTGAACAAGCACCATGTGCAGGCCAATGCAACAGGAGGCTGCCAGACCCCAGCCCCTTCCTATGTGTGGGCTGGGAAACAAGAAGAGCCAATACACACAAACACACACACACACACACACACACACACACACACACACCATAAGCAAACTGCTGATCAAGAGAAACAGGCTGTAACGATAGCTATTTAGGTGAAATGAAATTTGATGCTTGTGGTGTTTGGTTTTTCACTGACTTTGCAAGTCTACTCAGAGGATCATGGTATGCAGTGTAGCATCTATGGGGGATCTCTTTCTGAAGGTGGTAGCCATTGTTAATTCCCTATTACCTTGTTTTGAAGCCCTGTATCATTTTCATTGTTTTGTTGGGTTGAGTGTTATTCTGTTTTGTTTTGATTTTGTTATATTTGATTGCATGGCAGCTATTTCAAAGACTGCAAGATATATTATGGTAGCCATTTGGTATTTATTATTGTCTTGTTTTGGAGTCCATTATTGCAATCAATATTTTGGTTTTATGGGTTCTACTTTGCTCTGTTTTGTTTGATTTCTACTGTCTGAAGGTATCTACAGCTGTTTTGAAGACAACAAGAGGTATTATGGTAGCCGTTGTTGATTTCATACTGTTTTAAAGTCCTGTGTTGCTTACTTTGGATTTTTATTATTGGCTTTTTCTGTTTTATTTTGTTTTTTATTCTCTTTAAAATAAAAAAATAAGAGTCTTGTTATCTTTTCACATGTGGGCTGACCTACTATAATTTTAATTTACATGTGATCTTTTTAATTTTAAAATATCAACTTATTATTTATAAGAGCTTTTAAATATCAAGGATAAGAAGCCCGTTTAGTGTTATGCCTTATTATGTATTTTCCCATTTTCACTTATATTTAGTTTTAACTTTTATAATGCTTTTGAAATATGAAAGTTTCATATTTTTAATTAGCCACATATAATAATTCCCCCATAATGTTCTTCTTCAAAATATTATATAAACATTTACTTAAATTTTATTCTAGTATTTATTCATTTTAATTTTTCATATTTATATTATTAAGATGGAAAAATCTTTAGTTTTCTCTTTCTATGAGAAATTAGAAGGTGTGCAAATTGTTTTAGCTGCAAGTCTCCATGAAAAGAAACCAGACACTCAAATATAATTAGAATTAGGCTCTTTCTTTACACTTCCTTAATCATCATTTAAAATTAGAAAACTAGGGCCAGGGATATAGCTTAGCAGCACAAGTGCCTTCCTGGCAAGTGTAAGGTTATGAGTTCAATCCCCAGTACTGAAAAAAAAATCTAGAGTATCATTTGACTCTGTAAATCCATTTATAGGAATTTGCCTTGAAAAAATAAAAAAAATCAACTGCTCCCCTTCTGTGGTCCCAATGTCCTAGATGCCTTCTACTGTGATGTGCCTCATGTGCAAAAATATACTTACAGTGTATAGCACAGCATTATTTGAAAGCACTAATTTGGGCTGAACCTGGCAGACAGAAGAGGATAGCTGAGGACTTCTGAGGTCTTTTGCTTCATGCACAGAAAGAAATCCTGACCCCATTACCAGCTACCCACCATGGTTTCCATACTTGCTGCTTACCTCTTGTCTCCCCTTGCAGATGTGCTGCCTGCCTGCCTCCTTCCACCACCACCTTTACCACCACCACTGATCTGCACCCACTGGATTCCCATGGACCCAGAAAAGTTAGGCTCTACCCACATAAGCAATGTCCTGCAAACCACATTCCACCAAAGGCTGTGGGAATTTTACAGCAGAAACAATAAAATACATGTGGCAAAACAATAAAATGTAAATGAGATCCATGAATAGACCATGCACAAAAAAAAAAACCAGACAGTAGGAAATTAACCTATACACGTATGTTATTTAGTGTAAAGAAGTCAAAACAAGGCTGTGTGGTTAGTTAAAAAGTCCTTGTTTCCTAAGAATATATGAGTCATACTCATGTTCTAAAGGTACGTGAATCTAGCATAAATGTGTCCTTAGGAGCCTTGTATAGAGAAAATTGAAGGGTTCCCACCCTCAGGACAGTTGTGGAGTAGATGGCCTTCCTTGTAGACAGACCTCCTAGACAAAAAGCAGTAACATGATTGTCAATATCTTATTCCATTTTCAGAGCTCTTTGATAGATGCCAATAAGAAAAATCAAGTACCAGTTTTAGATCATGTGTTATTGGATGCCAGTACAGTAAAGTTGGATTTCCACTGAATTGTATACCTTAGCAATATACAAAAAATTGTTAAATTTTTACTTAAAAATAAAATGGCAACTCAATTTTCCAAGGAATGAAATTATTCTAAGAATGTGTAGGAATATTTACCATAGTTTTTTTTTATTATGCTTCATATGATAAATGATGTTCCCAGCTCCCAGTGCTGTACTCCTCATCCCAACTTATCTTCTCTCCAGGTTGATTTGGAAGAGGGATCTCCTTGCCATGAACCACACCAACTTTACCAAAGTGAAAGAGTTTGTCTTCTTGGAACTGACTCACTTCCGGGAGCTGGAGGTCTTCTTGTTCATGGTCTTCCTGGCTATGTATGTGACGACTCTCCTGGGAAATGCTCTCATTGTGGTCACCATCACCTGTGAGTCCAGCCTCCACACCCCCATGTACTTTCTCCTGAGGAACAAATCAGTACTGGACATTGTCTTTTCCTCTGTAACAGTTCCCAAGTTCCTGGTGGATCTTTTGTCAAAGAGGAAAGCCATCTCCTACAATGGCTGCATGTCACAGATCTTTTTCTTCCACTTTGCTGGTGGGGCAGATATTTTTTTCCTCTCTGTGATGGCCTTTGACAGATACCTTGCAATTGCCAAACCCCTGCACTATGTGACCATTATGAGGAGAGAGTCATGGGTGGCCTTGGTGGTGGCTTCTTGGGTGGGTGGTGGATTGCATTCAATTGTCCAGATCATTCTTTTGCTTCTACTCCCCTTCTGTGGTCCCAATGTCCTAGATGCCTTCTACTGTGATGTGCCTCAGCTGGTAAAATTGGCCTGCACGGACACTTCTGCTTTGGAGCTTCTCATGATCTCCAACAATGGACTGGTGAGCTTGCTGTGGTTCTTCCTGCTGCTGAGTTCCTACACCATTATTCTAGTGATGCTAAGATCTCACTCCAGAGAAGGACGGAGCAAAACTCTGTCCACCTGCACCTCCCACATGCTGGTGGTGACTCTCCACTTTGTGCCTTGTGTTTACATCTACTGCCAACCCTTCACCACCCTCCCTGCAGACACAGCTGTGTCCATCAACAACATGTCATCACCCCCATGCTGAACCCCTTAATCTACACACTGAGGAATCAAGAAATGAAGTCAGCCATGCAGAGACTGAGGAGGAGGCTCAGACCTGCTGAGAGCACTGAAGTGGGCTGCACAGCCACGTGGAGATGGAGCAGCTAAGGCTGGATGAGCCTTCTCAAACTGCCAGGGTAGGAATGGAAAGTGGCCTACTTGACTCTACCAGCCGGGTGACAGGAACAAGAGGAAGAATTGAGATTGAACAACATGCATGATGTGGTGTGTGGACTGCATAGGAGAGTGGGCAATGACAGTAAATGACAATGACAGTGGCCAACAACCTCACTGCTGCTTTGGTTTCATCTCTTTCTGGTCCGCCCACACTTTTACCACCTGTGAAAAAGCACTGCCTGACATAGGAATGAAACAGGGCCCATGCTGTGATGATGTTAGCTGTGCAGATCAGCAGCGTACCTGGCATTAATCAGCTGATCATGCTCCTGACTGTCTTTCCTCCTGTTCCTGTATGCACACACGAACAAGAGATCTATTTCATACATACTCTCTACTGTGTGTTAGTTCCAGTCTATTATAAAAACCACTTGTTCATTTTACATATTTTAGTCAATTGTAGACATTTTGGTGAAAGGCTTTTTATTTTCAACCCTTCTTGTTTATCTCAGTGTATGACCACAGTGTATAATAGGTACCTTCACTGTGAGGAGTTGGTGAATGGATGTTACACATCCAGTACTTTCTACTCGCTCTTCTTCTCCCCTCCTTCCCCTCCTTGCATTTCTCAGTATACTTCCTTTCCCAAAAGATCTGTCTCCCTGTTTCCTATTGTTCATCTTTTATTTTACTTTTTAACTTACTTATTCTTTGGTTTTCTCATATGATATGATATTTAACTGTGTGTGTCTGATTCATTTCACTTGACATTAGGGATTCAAGGGACATCCACTTTCATACAACAGATTTGGATTTATTCTTCTTTATAGAAGAGGAGTTATAGTATACAAAAATTTCACAAATTTGTGAAAACAGGGAATATTTGCAAAGTACTAAATTAGAAGCAAAATGTGTAAATTAGATTAGATGAATAAATCTATGCATGGATGAATTTATTTCTTGTTCTTAGATCCATTTTATTGCCTTAGACACTGAAATTAACCTCAAAGTTGCTTGTATAATTTGGGAAAATGCTGGTATAAAATCCACAAGGACAGTTGCTTCTGTGTTAACCTAAACTTTCTTTAACTTCTGTCTCTTCTTTCAGTTTCACCCCAAGACTCATAAATGAAGTAAATTTATAACTTTTGACTATGTATGAATAAGCAATCCAAGATAAGTCATCTTAATTTTTAAAAATCTACCTGAGATATACCTTCTGCTTTAAGGACCTATTTTTCATACCAGAAGAGAAAAAGAACACATTATATTTAGCCTCCTTTAGGACCAGCCAGTTGGCCTGTAATGGAACCTGCTCTCTGTCAAGGGAAATATCTCAGGAGAGCAGACATAGAGAAACCATGAATGTCCCTTCTCTTTCAGTATTTGCTTCCAATACCATTCTTTATCCTTCAATATTCATGTAAAAATAGGCCAAGAGAAGTAAAGAAACTCAAAAAATTGCACCCCATTGGGCATATCTTCTGCAAAATATCAGATTTCTGTAACATTTGACTCAGAAGGCATTAGAAATTGACACATGACACACATTTGTGATCCACTCTGTGTCTTACAAGACAGAGTGTAATTGTGACAATGCACCCATTATTTCCCCAAGATGCTTTATGGAATATTTTTCCTAATTGCTCTCCACAAGGAAACCTAATACCAAAGACATACTGCATGTCCTTTATGTACTGAGGACTTTTGAAGGGCCACACATCACCAGAATCGCTAGCAGGCATTTGCTTCCTTCAGAACTCTTCGTCGTCCCTTGGGGCACATCACACTGAGAATGAATGGGCATCTAACATTAGATATTTCCAGAGATCAGTTGTTCCAAAACTCAGAGAATCACAGATTAAATTTCTGTCTTTTGAGGTCTTGCAAAAACTTGGAAAGCAGAAGTGGGCATGTGTGTGTGTGTGTGTGTGTGTGTGTGTGTGTGTGTGTGTTTGTATATGTATACTTGCTTGTGTTCCACTGGAATCCTTGACAATCAGCATTGTCCTGTTTCCATGTTCATACACAAATTCCCTTTGCTAATTCTCACAGGAGATTTGGACCTGAGAGACTAGTGCTTTTGATAGAGACACATTTAAACAGGCAAAGGAATCACAATGGTCTGCCCTTCCAAGATGAAGGCCAAAGATGTGACACTGAAGTCTGGAGTAATAATCCAAAGGACATCACCTTCACACACAATGCTTCTCCTCTATCACATACACTGAAGCCAAGCTGCCAGTCTTCGGGGGTTTAAATTTATCCCTGGATATGAGAGGATTTCGGTAAAGATACTCAAAAGTCATACTGTTAGATGTTATGGATTATATATGAGTATAATGACAACAAAACAGTGTGCCAGGGATCTAACAAAATGCAGAAATATTTAAAAATTCTAATAACTGGAAATAAAGAAGTGGATATTATGCATTGGGAAGTAAACCACGCTCTCAGAAGAAGAGTCACAGAATTTGAGTCAGAGTAAGGGAAGGAAGTTTCTGAATGAAAAACAATGAGTTGGATATAGTACCGATTTTGTTTCAGTTTAGAATTTATCCATGGGGATCTAAACTTCTCTCTACCAAATACAGGTTTCCTGTAAACAACCAAACTCTCTTACAAACTGTGGGACCTTCAAAGGAAGCTCTAGAGGAATCCTGACTCTGGTTCTCTGGGCATCCTCTCCTCTGATTCAGAGATATCTTCATTTCCAAAGCCACAGACCCAGGGCTGAATCCTTTACTCCATTCATCTAGTTCACCCAACTTCATTCAAACAAAAATAATTGAGCTGGTCCAAAGAAACCCAGAAGTAGTCTGGGAAGATTTTGTTCACTTTAAAAGTTTTCTTTTCAATTATTCTAGGTTCTAACAGAATTCTGTTTGAACTTAAAATCAGTTCAGTGATTGCTACCAAAGCAACTGCTCAAATTTTGTTTGGATTGAGTTGAATTTTCGACTCAGTGGGACAGCACAGTGTATTTTGCAAATGTCTTCATAAGGAACATTTCACTATCCAAGGAAGATATATTTTTTATCAGAAAGGAGAGAACAAAACAACAGAATCCTTCCAGAGAGTTTAGTAACATTATCATATTTACTTCATCTGTGGAGAAGCAAATGGTGATTCACAGGTAAGAGCAAAATAGTCTCTCAGCTTGTATCTGAATATCTGTCTCACACAGACACCTGCGTTGATGGTTATCTGTCTAGAGGGACACACCTAGTTCAAGTTATTCATTGATTTAGAGACTTTCTTGGGCACCTATCCTATACCCCACACAAGATAAGGCTCCCATCTTAGGGTAGAAAAAGCACTGGAGAAACAGGATGAACTTGAGGGTTATAGGGAAATTATATGAATTAAGGAGATGGACAATAAATTAGTTCAAGACACCGATATAGGCTCTGGAAGATGTCAGTTCTGAGAATGAGGGAGACCTGCAATAGGGAAGCAGAGGGAGAGATAGAGACAGGAGAGGGAGGTCCTGCCGATACTTTGCAGGACTTGATATTTCCAAGATGAAAATTCTTCTCAAATTTGTCTATAAATTCAACTCAATCCAAACAAAATTTGAGCAGTTGCTTTGGTAGGAATCACTGAACTGATTTTAAGTTCATACAGAATTCTATTAGAACCTAGAATAGTTGAAAAGAAAACTTTTAAAGTGGACAAAATCCTCCCAGAAGAAGTCCTCACCGAGGAAGATAATTTGAACATGAATGTTGAAGATCTGCATTTGCCAAGGAGGATGGGCCTGAGACTGTTAGAGTGGGGAGGAAATGAGAGCAGGAGGAAGAAAGGAATCAGATCCTAAAGAGTGACTTTCCTTTAATTTGTATGACATTTGATCCATTGAAACAGAGCCTCCAAGGAAATGGGGTCCTGGGTGATGTCCCAGATAAAGGAAAGTCTCAGATGCTGTTATAAGAGAAGCATAATCTTTTTTCTGCTGGTACTAGAAAACCAATTGAAGAGTTTCACAGGCAAGGTTAACCGATCTTGTTGCTGGCACAGTGACATCTCTGGAAACAACAGCGAGAATGAGTGACAGAAGTACAGAATGAGCAGAAGCAAGCCATTGAGGGAACTCTGGCAGTAATCTGAGGGGAGATGATGCAATGGAGGACTGAGAAGACAGAGCATGTTGAGACAAGTGAAGTGAAAGAAACAGAGGACATGAGATGTGGCTAATGTTTTGCCATATCCTGGTTGTTTGCAGTGAGGGTAGTTCCCAGGCAGTGAGCCTGGGGAGTGGCTGCACCATCATGGTCAGAATGACCCAAGGAACAAACTAGGAGACACAGCTTCCTTATCACTATGATGCCTGGGTTTCTGTCTGCATGCTTCTCAGGCCAATGCTCCTCAACGAGGTGCTGATTCTGGAGCCATCTGCCTGTGCACCAAGAAAGATGGATGCTTAGACTTTGGAAAACTCTTCCTCTGCATCATGGCCACCATCCTAAGTCTCCTCAGAAAGCACTGAGGTCACAGGGCTGAAAGAGATTTTGGGCTGAAAGACAAACATTAGCCCAACCTAAGGGTGCCTTTCAGGTTTCTCTGGATCACTTAAACACCTCAGGAACAGGGTTTCTCATGACTTCATTTTCAAGCAACAAGAGATTATTCACCCCCAATAAAACAAGAAAAAGCACATTGCAGTGAAAATTCTGTCTGTTAGATCTGCATCTTTCTCTTCATCTGGGCAAAGGAAACTACAAACTCCAAGAGAAGAGAAATCAGTCAGTTTTTCCATCTTGTGCCAAGGTGAGTCAGGGTCTGAATTGTGAAAGGAAATGCAGCTCCCAAGCTAAAGGGTCACTGCTGAACATTTTCCCTTTTTTGTTACCATATATTTGCAAC